GGTCAAATCATTGGGAAGTTGGAGGAAGTCCGCAGTGTGACAAGTCTGGCTGCAGAGATTGGAATTGCTCATAGCATCGTTTCACGACTTTGGAGACAATTTGAAACTACAGGAACAGCTATTCGGGGGTTTAGTAGTGGTCGTCCACGAGGAACCACACCCGCAGATGACCGATACATTGCCTTACAGGCCAGAAGAAACAGGCGGCAGACAGCGGGAGAAATCGCTAGACACATGACACAGGCGACTGGACAACCGATATCGCGTTTTGCAGTGGCCAGAAGACTGCACGGTGGTTGTCTGTTTGCACGACACCCTGTATGGTGTGTACCTCTAACGCCTGCCCATCGGAGAAGGCGTTCTCTGTGGTGCCGGGAACACCGGAATTAGAGAGACAATGAATGGGGACGAGTACTCTTTACAGATGAGAGCAGATTCAGTCGGAGTAGCGATTCTCATCGCATACTCATCTGGAGAGAGCGGGGAAGCCGCAATCATCCCTCGAACATCATTGAAAGTTACAGGTATGGAGGTGGCGGTGTTCTCGTTTGGGGAGGCATCATGCTTGGTAGTCGCACAGACCTTCACATCTTCGACGCAGGTTCAGTCAAAGGGACCTGTTATTGTAACGAGATTCTTCTTCCATATGTGCATCTTTTTAGAGGCACTATGGGTCCGCAGTTCCTTTTCATGGACGACAATGCACCATGTCATTGCACAGTAGCTGCCGAACAGCTCTTAGAGAGTGAGGATATTGAATGTATGGATTGGCCGGCACGATCACCGGATCTCAATCCCATCGAGCATGTATGGGATTTTCTAGGCAGACGTACCTTACCACCAGTAACGATTCCGGAGCTTCGATTGGCGCTGCAAGATGAATGGGCAGCAATGCCTCAACAACTCACTGACATCCTCACTCTCAGCATGGGCAGACGCTGTGAAACCTGCCTAGCAGTCAGGGGAGATCATATCCCCTATTAAAGACCTGATGTTTCTTGCTGGACACCCATCACAGGGATGTTTCGGCCTTCAGTCGCATTGCGCTCCATGCTACTTTTTTAATAAAGCTTCTTTTTATCCCTCTGATTCCTCTTTTAGTAAGTGTTGCTTACATTACTCATGTCCTTACGTATTGGGGATCTTACGGTATTAAATGTGTTGATTTGGAAAGCTTTTGTACAAAGTTATATTGAAAAAACCGTCTCGTCCTTAATTTTTGCACACCAGTGTATACAAAAAGTAATGCAATTAAAAATCCAATTTTAAATATCATATCAGAAAAATTACGAGATTTTCAGCACATCATTGCGATTGCTAGAAATCAAAACAAGCTAGCAACTTTCCCATATAAGGCACTTCAAAAGCATATTGTTAAGTATTTCAAAATTAATTCACACTTGTTGAGATAAAAAAATATTTAAATATGTCATTAACCTTAATACACCATACAAATAAAGTATACATAAAAAATATATTACAAAAACAGAAAATATTCAAAATCTTTTCATCGCTTCTATGAATTTCATGCAAAAGAATTGCACAAAAAGGTTTCAGATTACTCAACAACCAATATAACAAAAGCGATTAAAACAATGCAACACCAAGTTTACACCAGCTTTCCATCTGAGGTCCAAGTTCATATTTTGAAACTATTAGTAATGCAGTTTCTCAACAACTGAAACTACTGATTTATTAATGTTATTTGCAGTATTCTAGTGTTCAGGAAGCATCATTACAAAATTGCTAATAAAGAAATATAAAATTTTGAAAGCATGCTTTTAATAAAAGTCAAATGTAATTCCTCATAGCACATTCATACACTATTAAGCTATAAAAGAAGAATCAATTCAGTGCTTACATCAATGGTAAACAAAGAAAAGAATTACAGTATTCTAATTTTACAAGTACACTATTTACACTTAAAATTTCAATAAATCACAGTTTTATGAAAAACCTGCAAATAAATAAAACAACCTTTATTTTTCCACAACACTTATTCCTAAATGTTTAAAAATTAAAATCGTATTAAAAAAGGATTACACAAATTGTTTCACCCATGGCAAACCCACTTGAAGTTAAAAGAGTTTTTCACAAATTTCATTTGAATTTTGTCTAATTTTAATGGGTTTAACTATATTTCCTTTAAAAACGGTTTTACAATGAATTTTCTACTGATTAGGCACACAGTTAATAATATACTACAAATTATGACATACTAATAAAATTAAACACAGAATCATAATCTCAAACAATATATAGACTAGCTAAGAAAGTGCTAGCTGCCACAAGAATACATCATGAATGTTTATCTTGTACAAAACTAAAAGCCTATCACTATCACCATCCACATTTGCCAATATTTCAGGATCTCCCCATTGCAGAAATAAGCTGGAATAGAAATGAATGTATGCAACCCCCTTATTCACTTCACCTTCATTCACAAAAGGCCCACTCTTTAAGGATGCAACTTTAACCTGTTTAGTACGGGCATGTCATATGTGCATCAGCAGCGAACATTACCTCATGGCCGGATGTGTCATATTTGAATTGCCATTAATTCAATCTAAAGGACGGGAGTACCACATTTGACTTTTTAAATAGAACATTTAATTAATATTTTTTGTTGCCGCTAGATGTAGCTGTATGCCTGTTATGGGAAAATATATCGAAAGTTAAGTATGTTTACCTTCATTCCTATGCAATGATTTTTATTTTTGGTATACAGATTTGTTTCGTAATGAGAGTGAGATTCGTGGGTGGTTGTTGAGCAATGTAATGTCTCTTTAACTGCGTCATTTGATATAAACAAATGCCCGTGCTTTCGCTGCATTGAGGTACTTTTTATTTTTATTTTTGCGATATAGTGGGATAGACGTTCTATCATTAGAGATTTTTTATTACTCATATATTTTCCTTTCCATACTGTTTCGTAATGAGAGTGAGATTCGTGGGTGGTTGTTGAGCAATGTAATGTCTCTTTAACTGCGTCATTTGATATAAACAAATGAACATATTCCAATGCTTTCGGAATGCATTTTTAGGTTTAATTAATTTATTTTTTATTTTTGCGATATAGTGGGATAGACGTTCTATCATTAGAGATTTTTTATTACTCATATATTTTCCCTCTCTTTTATTACTCTTAGATTTTTTTGTGCTTTGAGATGAATTTTTTAATCGTCAGTAATTTTTTTTAATGGCAAACGAAAGTAGTATCTAAACATAGAATATACACAAGCGCTAATTCGTTAGTGCTAAGTAATGTAATGGCTTTTACTGCATCTTTTTATATAAACAAATGTTCTCGATGCTCTGGAATATTTTAAATTAAATTTATTAATTTTTCTTTATTTTATATTTTTATCAGTTATAGTGGAGTAGATGTTCTATCATTAGAGACTTTTTTATTACTCTTTAAGTTTTCCGGCATTGAGATGAATATTTCGTATCGCTTAGCCAAAGGTTTTTTTTTTTTTTTTAAATGACAAAACGAAAGCACTGTCTGACCGTAGAACATATACAAATGCTAAATGAGTTAAATTTGCTGAGTAAAATAGCCAGATATTATATTCCTGTGACTAATGCAATGCTGGACTTTGCGTACACCCATCTTTCAAAGAATATCATACACTGTCTCATTTTCAAACACTGCTTACTTTTCGTTGTTTGCTCGCTGAATTTTTAAGAAAGACAGTTTTAATATTTTTTAATTTTAATTGTGTGTTGTGTTAAATAAAATCTGCAATTGTATGGATATTTTTCTATATATATTTATTTGTGGGATAAGGGGAAAATTATATTATTCTAGAATGAGTATTTTATAAATTTTTTAAAGAAAATATAATAATAAAGGCTTAAAATTAATTCTGACGACTACCTGAATGTTCTGCTTATAATGTACCCAAAATTGGAAAAATTGGATGACAAATTTCATTTATACGAAATTTTTTCTTAGCAGCATAAATTGCCCGTCCCCACAGGACAACGCATCCAGTTAACATGCTGTCCCAAGAGAACACTTCGGTAACAGAAGTGCCCGTCACAAACGGGTTAAGGATGAAGATGTACTCAGACGACCGTGCAATTTCTAAGACAGTCACACTGTAACTGCTGTTAATTTTTTCATCATCTTGAAGTGCAAGTTTAGTGTCAGTCAAATCTGTGTGTCACTGTCCTATTTGGCGGCATTTTCGTGGTTACGGTCATGATATTGAATTTGCTCAATACATTGCTGTAATTTCATGATGAATCTTGAAACAACTGAGCATTTTGTGCCATACATGAAGAAAAATGTTCTTTAATGGTCTTCTTAGGATGATATCCACCATAAGGTTTCCCTGTCTAATAGACCACCTCATAGTGGACACAATATATTATGCGTCATGGCCTATGATATGATATAGTGTGTCTATTTCCATAATCGTGGCTTGAGTGATATTGATCAATGTATCTGTAGTAGCATATGCTGCTGAACACTACCTGAGAAGCTGTCCACTGAAATACAGCCAGCATCTGAGACTTAAAGATAATACAAATGACAAAATTCAGTACTGCTGTGTCATCAGATAAAAGGCACTCATCACCACAGAGATCAAAGGAACTCTGACAATTCAGGCAAGACATTGGCTGGATCAGTGTCCTGTTGCATCATTCCTAAACAGTACTCCACTATGGTGATATGCAGATCATATGCATCGCACACAATATCACTTTTACTAATTATTTGCCAAATTATGTCTTACCTAGTTTTGTCAACTTCATTTGTTTATATGCGTATTTTTCATTGCCCTTTTTACTGGTAAAAATTTTCGATACCAATGCAATTGGTAGGCTGTGATCATGGCAAATAGCAAACTTATATTATACTAATCCCAAACCAGCTTCAGTTAAGCAATTTTCAGTGAGTATCAAACCATTAATTGCAACATAAGGCCGACTACCTCTATACAGAATCAGCTTATGAAAAAATTATTGATTACAAGTTTCTTAATATTTACCTGGACTGGTTTCCTTTCAGTTGGTGATGTTCCTTCCAGAGGCTTGAATCTTTTAAGAGGATTTATATTCTACAGGACAAAAAGATAAAATGCATAGTTATATAAAGGACAATAATTATAGATAGTCCATGCAGAGTTTACACACACATAAGCAGCTGGACAAATTTACCAATAAGAATTTTTTTTTAAATGCCACTTTTGATTATTTACACAACATGGTTATGTGTAACCTAACTTAACCTATTAAAGCAAACTGTTCCATCAAAAGTTTTTAGTTAATTAAACTACTTTATATCATTATTAATCTATAGTAGTTATTCAAGATGTTTAGAATTCCTACTCTAGTTTTTCATTTATAAATAAATACTTCTCATTTTCTCTTGAAACATTTTAAAAATATTCTTCCCTTACAGAAACTGTGTGTATGCATTCCCATTATTAATGTTTGAAATCTGCATATTGTGTATCCCAACCACATTTATATTTTATATTCTTTTTATGAAATCTATTCAAATATTTTGGACATTGGCATGACCTGTTAATGCATATTTTATTCTTTAATCACTGAAAAGTCTTGTGTCTTACTTTGGAGAGAAACCAAAAAAACTTTTCTTCTGGTGTAATCATTTTCCCATCTTTGCCATTTTTTCATAATTTCTTTCCACAATAATGTTTTATTGCGAAAAGATGAGTAATGTTTTAAGGCGGTTTGTTGACAAATGTCTGCCTATTCGTTCAACATAAACAAATTTCATTAAAAAAATGCAGTGCCGTACTGAAAAAGTCTGCTGCTACATATATCCTCGAAATTCTACTGAATTAAAAAAAATAGCATACTTTATCATGTTATTAATTAATAAATATTTGCCGAATATCACTTTTGTTTTTTTAGCGTTTTTTCGATTAGTACCTATATTGAAAAATATAGGGCGCCACAACTCCATTTCTGCAGATAGTCAATTTTCATTTTGAAGTAATATTTAATTTTTCTGCATTAAAATGGTTAATATTTTTATTTTAGGAAAAGAAGTAAAATTTACAGATTCTCATGACGTGTTTCGTTCATCAAAATGTTACTTCTACAACACAAAATGTGCCCATACATCAATTATATTCAATACTCTGCAAACCTAACAGTCTGCAAAAAATAATAAGCCGGATCCAATTCGAAGATTAAGGAACAACGCAATCTGCAACATTAACTGAATTATATAATTTTAGCTTAGCTTATACCGTCCGTTATACATTAAACGCGCATTCGTAACCATATTTTGCACATGCGCACATGCATATTCGCAGCCGTAAAGGTCTTACGTGCATGCATCAACGCGACGCATGTACAGAAAGTTTGTAGCTTTGAGGTCCGCATTATAGATCATTCCGGATTATGGGTGTCCGAATTATAGACTTTTGACTGTATAAAATATAAGGTGACATAATAACAAAAAGCTAAAAGGAGCAATTTGTTATAGTTTTTTCTAAAACTAACTTTTTAAACTTCATTAATGTTATTCCAATTAAAACCCTGGCATCTTTAATTGAAACTGTTTCTTGTTCTGTTTGTAGCTTTTAAACATTGCTTTGAACAGGATTATTTTGGTTACGGCAAAGCATACGAAAGCTGTTTGGCTAAAGAAAGGAATGTCTTCTTGAGATGCTTTCTAAGTGGAACTGGCTCGTATCCACATTATGTGTGGGGAAAATTACAAAAACTCCCATGCAGGAACTTCTTTGGAGATTTGAACAATGGTCAATTTATCAATTTCCAGTTATTTTAAGATTTGGCTGCGAATGGGTCTTGAGAACTGTTTTAATTATTAAAAACATGCCACTGACCATCAGGTCATTAGGCGACAAGCTCTCCAATACTTTTAACAACGCAATAAAAATTATTTAGTGCATAACACTTGCCCAGATAAGCATCAGTCACGCCTTTTCTGGAGTCATACATCACGTATTCCGGGGAATTATTCAGTTAAAATTGAAATAAACAGGTATTAAGACTATCATATCCGCTCAAAAGTCCAAAGTGGTCCACAGCGGCAGATGCACACTCGAGGGCCTCCAAACAGCGATCGCTGGTCAGGGTTCATAGCCACATTTTAGTTAAAAAAATAAGCAAATATAAGCACTTTTCAAGCACATTTTAAGAAAAAAAATAAGCACCTGTCTAATTACATTATACAAAACTGCATAACCTTAAAAGAAAAATTAGACTTGCAATTTAAAATATGAGCAATGCAATATTTATTAAGAGAATAAACCATTACCTCAACCATGGAAAACATTTTTTTTTTTTTTTTTTTAAATTTAAAATGACAGTTCAACTTACAGAATTAGTTTACAATGAGAGGAAAAAAATCTATGCAGAACTAAACTATATTACAAGATTTAATGATGAAATTTCAGTTTAAAATATACAAAATAAATAATAATAAGCCATATTAATTGTATTCGTTTGGCACCTAATAATAAATACAATTTATTTTTCCACTCATATTAATATTTAAATAGTTTAACTTAAATCAAAACTCTGAACATTTTTTCTAAATTTTCATTACATAACAGTTTTCCCTTAACATATATTCCAAGTAAAGTAATTTAAGTAAAAAAGAGGAACATTTTTGAAATCAGGAGACGGGAAATTGCTTCATGCAGCCATCCTTTAACAGTAAAAGCTTAACCCGGGAAGACGTGCCATTTATTGTTATTTAAATAATAGTTTGGGATGTCCTGACACCCCACGCGCGCTTTTGTGTTACTATTTTTTAGTGTGGGCCATGGCGTGTGCAAGTCGCACCGTTCAGTCTTTTCCTCATTTGACATATGATTAAGAAATGAAAAGACTTCAAAAATTATTAGAAGGGGTTTCGTCAGATGAAGATTCTATAGAAGAAGAATTAGAAGATTCAAATAATGAAGTTATATTTAGTGATCATGAGTCTGAATCAGAAGAAGAGTGCAACTCTTCAGAAGACATTCCTTGTGATCAAACTGACTATTTTATAGGAAAGGATAAAGATTAGCTCCAATAAGAGATTTATTTGAAATTTTGTCAAGAATTGACAGAAATTATATCAGCGAGGGGAATATGTTACATTGAAAGAAAAGCTATAAACTTTTCGAGGACGATGCTCCTCTTGGCAATATATACCTAAGAAACCTGCAAGATATGGTATAAAGATATTTGCTATTGTTGATTCTAGAACCTTTTATGCTTTGAACATGGAAAACTTACGCATATCAGCAGCCAGATAGGCCGTACAAGAAAGTCAGCAGCTCTAGTGAAATAGCAAAGCTCATCCTAGCTCCATTATACAAATCTGAAAGAAACTTTACCACAGACAATTGGTATAACAGTAATGAATTGGCCAATTTCTTACAGAAAATGATTTGATGAATCACAAAAAAAAGAAAAAATATATAATACAGGAGATTTTACATGTGCTTAAAAAAGAAAAAGACAGAAAATCACAAACTATATGTGTGAGGTGTACAAAACATATGCCAAGAGCACTGTGAAATAAATGCTTCATGTATATATTACAAAATATTCAATGCTTCTTGGACCTAATTGATTTCAATATTAATTATATAACTTGTTTGGATAATTGCATTCAAAAGTAAAAAACAAACATTTCTCATAGAAATCAATGATTCCTAGACATCTGAAAAAAAAAAAAAAAAAAAAAAAATATCTATTTGTTATTAATTTTAAAATTAGCATTATTTTAAGCTATTTTATACAATAAATGTTGCAATTAATATAGAATGCATTCTTTTACGTAATTGTAATAATATGTTTAATTCGTACGTCATTTAACTGCTTGGGGTGTGTTGACACCCCATGTGGGTTCTTGTGTTACATAATACAGCATGCGTCTTCCCGTGTTAACTAACCCGCATACTCGGAAATTGCCAAATATTCCGTATAGTCGAGCGTTACTGGAAAAAGAGGAGGGGGGAGCAGTTCTTTAGATTTCTCAGCTAAATAAATGATTTTGACATTTCAATATGTGCATCATATAAAAATAGACCAACGGAACTGAGAAATATTCTGCTTAGAAAGCACAGTAAAACTCTTTTAAGTGTTCATAAATAAATCTCAGACTGAACATCAAAATTAATTATCTCTGCAAAATACCGCAAACGTTATTGCACAATACGTAATTCTTCCATACGTGATATTACGCAAACGGAATCAACAGCTGCCGTTATTTGGAGAATAAAGAACTAAATAAAGGAAAAGAAAGAGACTTACTAATCTGGGGTGTTTTTTTATTCTAATTTTGAACAGACTGCGCTAAATTTCTCCAAATAGAATCGTTCTTTGATTGGGTTGGGTAGACCGTAAAACTTTTAGTCCTATTCAATCCAGATTGGAACAAGTGACCCCCCCCCAAAAAAAGGTCCATTGCTGCTTTTGCAGCGAACTATAATAGTTTCAATATTCAAGATTTTGCGGAGAAGGGGAGAACCTCCCAACCTCCGCACTGTATAATGTATTGGGATTAAAAAATATATATGTATATTTTGACTATTCGATACTTTCTTTTTATTTAAGCCATTCCAAATATTATTCCTTAGAAAGCTAATCTGTGTAAAAATACGCCCATTTTTGGAAGTTTATCTACACTTCAGCACCTACTGCAACTATATTATAAACATTCATACATATGCTCATAATATAAGCATAACGATCATAATAAACACGAAAATGAACTGACCACGTGGAATGAGAATGCAAATTATTAAAATCTTGATAGAAATTCAAACGTGTGTAGTATTTGGGTGGGAGGAAAGGAATACCGAATCTACCGGAATTTTCTACGGTTTTCGCAATTCTTTGACCAATAGAACGACGTGCACCTGTCTGTACTCTCGCGTGCACACCATAGGTTACGGTTAATGTAGAGAAAGAGGGGAAAAGCTAATTTCTGGGAGTATGATTCACCATCTGACATTGCCATATAAGGAAAGAAAAGTTTGTTTATTTAGTTTCGGCTTTGGTACGGAGGAAAAAAATGCACGCTTCATTAACAAAAAGCACTAAAAGCAAAAAATAAGCA